ATATATATATATATATATATATATATATATATATATATATATATATATATATATATATATATATATATATATATATATATATATATATATATATATATATATAAATTATTGAAAATTAATTACTATTAAAGCTAATAGAAAAATAACATAAAAAATTATAACTTATCGTTTAAAACTTAAAATAAAATTGCTTTTATAAGTATAACTATGCGCTTGCATAAGTGCAAAAATTTTTGGAAAAAAATTTTTTGATATTGGGATTTTCCAAATTTCCCTAAAATCACTCAAAAAAAAAAATTCATTTCTCAATTCGCAATTTGCAAAAAAATTTTCGCAATGCCTTCCAACAAGAGCAAATATTATAAAAAAAAAGTTAGCAAGAAATAAAGTGCAATTTAAAGAATTACAAATTTGTTTGGTTAACACCCACAAATGCTATTTCTTTAAAAGTTTTACCCTTTTTTGCTGAAGTTAAATAAGTTTTTTTGATTATAACAAACTGATTCTAGAAACTTATTTAATGAGGAAACTAGTACAAAAAAATTTAAAAAACAAGAAAACTAGATAAACTGCTTGCTTGAATTTAAAACATAAAAACAAATTTAAATGTTTCAATGAACCATATACATATTAACATTTTCTGACTATGCATGATAAAATAATTATTGGTATTCTTCGTTGCCACGATTGTGCACAATCGCTAGCGATCTTTTGTAATTCTTTTGTAATTAAACGACAATTGTTGTTGTTTTTGCTGAGACTTTGTAATTGTAACTTTATTTTGCTATGCGATTTATGTGTAAAGAAAATTCATATTAATTATAAACTTGAACTCTAATTTGAAAAATTCATATTAATTATAAATTTGTAATAAATGTGATATATGCAATTTATGAGCTTGTGTTTACTGTTTTCAAAACCTTTTTTTATTTTTATTTTTTCTTAACATTTCTTTTGATGACACACTTTATTACATGTTAATGTAAAGGTTCCTCCATAAAGAACATCAAACAAAATTTAGATAATAATTAGAAGTAGAAGATTGTTATGTTACTTTAAAAATCGCTATACTACTTTAAAAATCGCCCTTTAATCCCCACTAGTGAAAAACATATATATATATATATATATATATATATATATATATATATATATATATATATATATATATATATATATATATATATATATATATATATATATATATATATATATATATATATATATATATATATATATATTCAAAAGAATACTCTTAACATGAAAGCGGCAACGATATAGTAAGATTAAAAGTAAATCAAATATATTATTTTTAATAATAGTTAATTAATACACGTTGATTATTTTATGATATAAAAATATATAATTCTGAATATATCTTTAGAAATTGGAGTATAATTTGTTTTGAAAAACCACATTTAATTTTGTGTTGATTTCATATGCATCTTTAATAAATGTTAAAAATGGTATTTTGTTTTACTTTTGGCGCTGTTTAATCAATGTATCCAGTACTTGAGTGGAATTTTTCTTCTTTATCATCAGAATCCCCCTATCATCTTACATCTTACAACTACCTTAAAGCTGACTGGGACTCTTTCTGTGATTTTCTTTGTGATGGACCCTGGGTAGAAATCTTTTGTCTTCCTATTGACAAATGTGCTTCTTACATAACTTCGTGGATTCAGGCTGGCATGGAATCCTTTATTCCCTCTCGACAGTTCCAGGTCAAGCCTCACTCTTCTCCATGGTTTTCCTTGCCTTGTGCTGCTGCAATTGCCAATCGAAACCATTACTTCCATATCTATCAACAAAACAATTCTCCAGAAAACAGACGTCTGTTGATTAATGCTAGGAACCATTGTAAAAAGGTTTTGTCTAACGTCAAAGCCCGCTTTTCTCAGATCATGAAATCTCGTATTTCATCACAAAAGTTAGGTTCTCGCATAGTCTGTAATTCCACCTTATTTGTATGGTTTAGACTTTGTCACCTCACCTAAAGACAAAGCTGAATTGTTTGCTAAGAACTTTTCATCAATATCATCTCTTGACTCCACTAGTTGCGTTCTACCTGATATAGCCGTCAAACAGGTTGATCCATTGCTTGACATCCATATCATTTCAGCTTCTGTATCTAAAGTGATTTCCTGCTTAGACTCTTCTACAGCTTGAGGCCCGGACAACATACCTGTTATAGTCTTGCAGAAGTGTTCTCCATAGCTGTCGTCTATCCTTTCAAAACTATTTAACAAGTGCTTATCAGAGTCTTGTTTTCCAGCCTGCTGGAAAGCAGTATCTGTTATTTCTATTTTTAAAAATTCTGGAGAGCGATCCGATTTATCTAACTACCGTCCCATTAGTCTTCTTCCTATCATAAGCAAGGTTTTTGAATCTTTAACTAACAAACACTTAATCTCTCATTTTGAATCTCATAACCTACTTTCTGATCACCAATATGGATTTCGATCTTCTCGTTCTACGGCTGATTTGCTAACAGTAATAACCAATTGGTTTTATCGTGCATTAGATAAAGGTGGAGAGGTTAAGGCCATTGCTCTAGACATTTCTAAAGCGTTTGATAAAGTTTGGCATGCTGGTCTTCTCCATAAGCTTTCTTCTTATGGTGTATCTGGAAACATCTTTAAGATTATTGAATCCTTTCTTTCCAATCGTAGTATAAAAGTTGTCCTTGATGGACAGCACTCTTCTTCTTATTCTGTAACCTCAGGGGTTCCTCAAGGTTCAATCCTTGGCCCTATACTCTTTTTAATATACATTAAGGATCTTCCAGATATTCTCACATCTAAGCTGGCATTGTTCGCTGATGATACTACCATTTATTCTTGTCATGATAAGAAGCCAACTTCTTCTGATTGCTTGCAGGGGGCATTTAAGCTCTAAAATGATTTCACTTCTGCTTCAGTATGGGGCTCACAGTGGCTGGTGAACTAATTTAGACCTTCCTATTTTTATGAATGGTAATGTACTCTATGAGTCATCTACCCTTCATCTTCTAGGATTAACTCTCACTTCTGATCTTTCTTGGAAACCTTATATCAATCCGTTGCAAAATTAGCATAATGGGCACTGCTCTAAAGAGCTCTCTTGTGCCATCTACTAAAATTCATTCTCGTGTTATTCGTCATTCAATTAAGTCTCATCCTTTTTCTGTTACTTTTCCTAAGTGCTCCAAAAACTCTTATTCGTCTAGTTTTTTTCTTCAAACATCAGTTCTTTGGAGTTCGCTTCCTTTATCTTGCTTTCCTAATTATAAATTTTGCAATCTTTTAAGTTGTCTGTCAATCGTTATCTTGCTCTACAATCTTCATCTTTTCTCTTCCAGTAACTTCCAACACTAATTAGTGGTTGCTTGCAGCCTTGTTGGAAGCGAAGATGTTAAAAAAAAAAAAAAAAAAAAAAAGAAGAAGAAAAAACCCTGTATCAAATTTATTCCTAGTTAACACCCTGTATAGAAAACAGAATTAAAAAGAAAAGAGAATTATATAATACAAAATAACTATAATTGGCTATACCATCATAATAGATTGTATAATCATTATAAAGTTATATATTATTTTTATAGTTTTAATATAATTCACATATATTATTTTTATAGTTTTAATATAAATAAAAGCTTTGTTTTTGCCAATTTTTACTTATTGCAAAGTATTGTTTTTTATAGAATTTTTACTGCATATATTAGACCACATCTGGAGGCAAGGGATCCATACAAGTTTGGAACCCTTACCTTGATTGTAACGTTAAAAAAGAAAACGCGAATCTTTTTTGTTTATTAAATACTTTTATGAAAAATAGTGATTGTTACATTTTTATGTACAAGTTATTTTATTTAGAATTAGAAAATAATGCACAACACAACAACATTAAAAATGAAGACTACTAAACTTAATGCAAAAATTTTTTTACATTTTTTACATTTAACTACTCTTGAAGACAAATGCTAAAGAGGTAATCTTATTTAACAATATAAAAGAGAAGAATATCAAATAAGTTTTAATTGTTGAGAAGAGGTGATCTTTTCAACAATTTAAACCTATTTGATGGCGCACAAAGCCCTGCAGCTCAACATCCAGAGCTCAACATCGAATTAGATTTCATTGCAAGATTGCCAGAGACTGCCAAGTCAGACATGAATTTTTCAACAACTGTGTAGTCAATGATTGGAATGCTTTGCCAGATAATGTTATCAAGACTATATAAGGTCATAAATTTAAACAAAAACTAGACAATTTTCAGTCATTGTAGTTACTCCAGCTCATCATTTACCGGAAATGTCTTACAAAAGTGGCTGACATACAAGTTTGGCATAGACGCGTATACTAAACTGATGATGAGTTTAACAAGGCTATGGCTTTGTGTAACTTTTAACTAGCTGATAGTTCAGCACTATTCATTTGTATATATTGGTGCAACACTAGTTTTGCAAATAAATATTTCAAAAATTGGTAAATACTGACCATCATTTAAATTGGTAAATATTGGCCATCATTTAAATTGGTAAATATTGACCAACATTAATATATTTTTTTTCTAGTTCTCAAAAAAGCCTAATATAAAAATTAAAGAAAATTCACCTCTAAAGCGTAATTTTTTAAAATATTATAAATATTTTATTGTAATAATTAAATTAATGTATCCTAAAGCTTGGGTTTAATATTTTATCTGATAAAATTATATTATCATATATTTATCATGTAAATAAAGAAATTTAAAAGAATTAAATATTAGATAAATGATTCAATGAAAGAACCTTTTTTTAATTTATTAATAAATTTAAATTATTAATAAATTGCATAAAAGTTAGGGGATGCTGACAAAAATAGATCTTTGATTTGAAATTAGCGTCAAAAGTACATGAAAATCAAAATCTAAATAATTTTATATTTTTTTTAAATATAAAATTATTTTTATTCTTTTGTTAGCTTGTGTTATTAAAGTGGCTAAATCACATAATCATTGTAACATATAAAAATATTTTTCAGTGTGAGCAATGCTTAACATGGCAACATGGGGAGTGTGTTGGATATGCTCAACCAAAAGATGTTCCTTTGTTTTACCTGTGTCATATATGTTCGAACCCTAAAGGTATAATGTAATACACATATATGTAGTTTATTTTAAATTTTTTTATTAATTTTAAATTTTTTTAATTGTTTTTTAGTAGACATTTTTTAGTATGATTTAACAAAAAATAAAAAAGTAAATATTTTCATAGTTTTTTTAAATTAAACTTTTTGAATTTGTGTTTCCATAAATTTTTTTAAAAAAGCTAAAGCACAAAAAAACTAGTCTAACAGAGAAGACTGCACACACACAGATATACAATTTTTATAAAATTTCATTTCTAAAAGAAGTGAAATGTTATAAAAACTTTAGATCTGTGTGTGTGCAGTCTTCTCTGTTAGACTAGTATTTTTGTGCTTTGGCTTTTTTTGCGTTAGCTCACATGCAAGCAAATACTTAGGAAGCTCTTAAAAAAATGCTGGCCAATAAAGTACACAAGTATTTTGTTAATTGTAGTTTGTAACTTAGTTTTAAATTTTTAATTATTTTTTACAGGTTTACGCAGTGCTTCAATGTTTGATGTGAGTTGTACTTTTTTATTTTACACTATTTTTAAATGAAAAAACATTTTAGAGATTTTTTTGAACCTCTAAAAGACAAGGAGTTAAAACTTATATCTATTAAATTTATAAAATACATATATGTATATATACAACTCTTGGAATTAGGGTCAGAATTAGAGTCTCGGAATTAGGGTCTCGGAATAAGGGTCATTCCCCAATGCTGACCTAACTGCCGACCTAGAAGTCTTTGAGGTTGGCATAAATTGCCAACCTCGTTTCTATGTTTTATGGTAAGGGCTTTGTATCAAATTTTTTTTGCCGACCTCTAAAAGATTGAGGTAGGCAAATTATTGCTGACGTAATTGCAAGGGTTTTATATATGTATATATATATATATATATATATATATATATGACCTATTTTATGAAAAAAATTTCGACGGCAGTATCCCTCATTTCGGCGGATTTTAGCGGTAAATAGGCATATTTTTTTGCGAAAAAAACAATGTTTGCCGTAAAAACGTTTAAAAAAAAAAAAAAGGTCCTCAAATTTTAATTTGGGCGGCACCCAAATACGGTCGACACTGTCGAAAACAGTCTAGAATAGCCCTTGAAAAATTAACATTTTTAACAAAAAATAAAAAAGTACATATTTTCATTATTTTTTTAAATAAACTTTTTGAGTTTGTGTTTCCATAAATTTTTTTAATTATTTTTGAAGTTTTTATAAAACTTCACTTCTTTTAAAAGTGAAATTTTATATCTGTGTGTGTGCAGTCTTCTCTGCTAGGCTAGCAATTTTTTGGTTTGGCCTTTTTGCGCTAGATCACATTCAAGCAAATACTTAGGAAGCTCCTGGCCAAAAATAATAGTTATTTTAAATTTAAAAAAAACTTTTTTTATTATTATTATTAAATACTTTTATGAAAAATTGCGGTTCTACACTTTTATGTACAAATTATTTTATTTAGAATTCAATAAAACTTTTTTTTATTTTTTGTCATTTTTACTTCAATTGTTTTATAGAGAACTATCAAAAAGCAACCCGTAATATGGGTTATGGTCGTTCTGTTACATAACTAATTTATAGTGGCTGTTTTCCACAATTTAATGTTGCAAAACCTTAACTAATACCCTTTTAGAAAGACACCTTCATATTGAAAAAATTTATCTATCTGTAAAATCAACGTAAAGAGTATGAAGAGGTAAAATAATTCACCAATAGATAAAATAATTTACCAAGTACTACTTAACAATTACAATTAACATTATTTGAGTAATTTACAACTGACATAGGTCATAACAGTGTAAAGCAGAACCATTTTCCTCGACATTTCTAAGTTCAACACAATATGAATTTAGTTACTGACACAAAATAATAACATTTCATCATGCTTTAAATTGACGGGAGTATCATAAATCCATGTAATAATTTTTATAACATGAACTATTAAGATTAAAATGAAGTTAACTTGTATTATACAGGAGTTATCAATTTTTTGATGTCCCCTTGATTAATTTTTCTTTAGAAAAGAAAATTGTTAGCTTAAAATGTTAAATGCATACACCTAAATAAATTTATTAAAAATAACTAAGTTTATTATAAATAATTAAGCAACTGAGTACAAATACGTTTCAAACTGTAACAAAATGTAAACTTTGACCTTTTATGTTGCATTAATGCGTCATATGACAAAGCTAAAAAAAAATTGTAATAGATAAGTAGACATAAAAATTTTTAGTTTGATTAATAATTGCTGATCGGACCAGGGTCTTGTTAAGTCTGTTCAACACAGACTATTTCTATATTATTTGTTTAGCCTCTTTATTTCATAAATTTTTAGTAAATGGTAATTTGCTACCATTTATTAAAAATTCTTTTGTTACTCGAAATTTAATTTTTCTAAATATTTTGACACTAATAAAGAGGTTCCTCCCCTCTTTTTGCTTTAATGGTGGCCAGGTGAGTAGAGTTATTTTTATTAGGAGTAATCAAGTTTTTGATGAAGACCTTTTACCAAAATAATAAAATGTAAAGCAAGGACTTACATATTTAAGAATGTTTTCTTTCTTTCCATAAAAGTGTTGCAAATGCAGACAAACTAATTAGTTAAACATGTAAATAAAACATAAGAAAATTGATATTTGACAAATGCGCCAAATTACAATATTCTCCATGTTTTTAAAGGTTTTTAGTTACGACCCCTCCCCCTACCTTCCCCTGTTTACAAAAATCCCTAAAAATACGTACAACAAATTATTAGCCATAAAATAGATAAAATATAAAAAAAAATTGAATTATTTGCATATATTTATATCTTTTTAACTAACAAAAATTTACAATAAAAAGAAACCAGGTTTTTTTTATATATCTTATAAATGCGTCATAACATAAATCTAAAATAAAAAAGTAATGGAATTATGATATAATAATTAAAAAAAAAAAAAATTACCTTTTTATAGTAACCTATTTTGAAATTGCAGTTAATATAAACATTTATCGAAAATGTAATTATAAAATCTGTTTGGAAATACAAAAGGATTAAAAATACTAAAAAAATGAAACTAAGATATAAATTGCATTTTTAGCAAAATGTTGTCTTGGCTTTTAGTAAATAAATAAAAGCAGTAAGTTTCAATAATGAAACTACCTATTATTTATTTTTAACAATAGACACCAACACGAAGGTAAGCCAATCTGTCTATCAACACAAAACATCACTACAATAACATTACAACAGTAACACATAACAATAAAATCCAGTGAAAATAACAAACTAAATTAAATTATGAAAAATTAAAAAACTAATTTAGATTTAACTATCTTTTTACTAAACTTTAATAAAATAAACTTTAAATAAGTATATTTCTTTTTATATTCAATATTAGTTATTCAATACTAAAATACTTAAGGTTGCATACTCTCTCATAAACATTACGCTAAACATTAAGACATTATTATGTGTTTCCAGAATAATTAAAAAAACAACACAACCTAGCTCTATAGCAATAACACCGCCTGGCACTAAATGCTGCCAAGTCACACCTCTGCTATATGTAGGCTGGCTGGCAAGGTTATCAAATTTGCTCAACAGAGTGCTAAGTCAAACCAATTTGAAAACATGGAAACAACATGATTTAAACATTTATGCAACTATAAACAAATATGACTTTATATAACAAATATAAACACATTTTATAACAATATTAAATGACAGATATATTTATCAAAAACTATGAAAAAAAAAATAATAAAGTTATACAAAATGTGCTCACAACCTTTAAGAGTAAATTTTAGAAATGAAAATCTAAAGATTATAAATTAAGAACATTAGAAAATATAACATTCATTGTGTAACACTTTTCACCTACCATACCTTAAATAGGATGTTTATCAATTTTGAAAAACAAACTATTAAATGCTCTAGTTCTTGAATATGCAACATATGGTTGACCATAAGAGAAACATGGTTTTTGAGATGTCTTTTGTTTATAAGTTTAATTTCGCGTTGTGTAATATATATGGACGATCCCTAAAGTAAAATACTTAAAACTAAAAAGATTTTATTTATTACAAAATTTGAACAACCAAGGGACAATTATAGTTAAATAATTTAAAGAATTCTATTTTTAAATAGCAAGGGTTTTATCAATTCTCCCAGTACTAATTCTCATTTAAGTCTCATCTAAGAGAGAAAGAAGTGTTTCATAAGCAGGATGTTAAAAAAAGTAAAGAAGACATACAATAAATAGCAGTAACTGGTTTTATTATGCTACCAATAAACAAAATTATTTTTACCTTAACTAAAAGTTAATTTCCAGCATTTCTTAATAAAGTTCCAGCTTCTCTCTAACTGTTGACTAATGATTAATATAATAAATTTCACATCATATTAAATTTACATAATTAAAACCATGTTTCAACAGTAAGCAAAATAATCAAGTAATGACAAAGGCAACTAAAAAAAAAAGAACACAATTATGGTTAAGATTACAAAAAAATAAATAAAATAAAATCGTTTAAATTTGAAACTGTTATTAATTGTTATTATAAATAGTAAAGTTCATACTTTGCTTTATTCTAAAGCGTCTAATTAAAATCAAATTATTAGAGATCAACATCGCTTGACACTGAATTCTGGTAAATAAGTTTTCTGTTCATCGAGCAGAATTTCTTACATTTCAAGGACAATTAATTTATCATGCCTAGATCATCTTTCATTTGACAACAATTTTTTTCAAATGGCCTATTACCATTTACAGTTCGAGCCTAATATTATACATCTGTTATCACTAAACATATAACCAGTGATTATACTACTGTAACAACTGAATAAATGAATGTAAAATAATTTTACAAATTGTGATCTTTTCTAATCAAAGACTATATTTTAAATCAAGATTTATTGATATCCATATATTTTTATAAGTTTATATATAGAAGTCATTTATTAAAAATATAAAACAAAATTTATTTACATTATTTTTAATTTAACAAAGAATTTAGACTACAATTCATAAAGTTATTTTTACCTTCAGGCACAATCTTAATGCACAAAAATAATAAATGCAGAATCTTGTATAAAAAATGAAGCAATATTAGTCTAAAGTAGTATATGTATGTATATATATTCAAATTTTGTCTATTCTTTTTTATTTTTCTTTGAGATAATATTTATATAGATACAGAGAAATATAAAATATACTGAAATATAGGCACATTAATGTATATAAACTTACCTGTCAACAAATTACATTCAGTTTTCCATGTTAATTACATAAAATATATATCTAATATTTAATAAATCCAATATATAATAAAACAAAATATTAAATTTACTCAAAAAATATTTATACTTTTTTATTGCCTAAAACTTTTTATTATTATCAACCTTTCTATTTAAAAAAAAACAATTGATTTGAAGTGACTAAAAAGCACCTCAGCTTATTCCAATTGCACTAAAAAATAAAGCAAATCTTGATTCGCTAAGTTGCATAGTTCTTAAGAATCTGAAAACA